CGTCGGAACCCATTCGACACGGCCCTGTCCGTCATGCTGATGATCTGAGCTTGGGGACCCTATGCAAAGTCTTTAGGTTAGGTCGCGCGAGTTTCAGTTTTAAAAGGAAATCCTGGCCAGATAGGACCAGAGGCCCTGTCTCGGCCATGCTCTGGTGGTTGGAGGCGGGGGGGTGGTCGTGGGAGGGTCCTGCTGTGTTCATCAGTGCCCAGTGTCGGAGATGGCTCCTCACGGAGTCCCTCCCTCGGCAAGCTGCCGATGCTTCAGTGGCCGACGTGGCCCGTTCGTTCCTAGAGAAGCATGCTGCTACTGCACTCGGACGGTTTCCCAGGAACCCTGCTCTGGAGGCGAGGGGCCTGTGGCTCCCTATGTCAAGGAGGGTGGCAAAGAGCCTCTCCCCCAATGCTATCTGTGCCGTTTTCAAACCAATGCTGTTGATGCTGCTGCCGATGTCCAGAAGGATCGTCAGCATTCCATCCACCATGGTCCCACTGTTCGCGGCACCTCTTTCGCCGGGTTCTGGCAGGAGCGCCGCCGACAGGAGAAGCCCAGAGGACTTGAAGCTGAGGCGTCGAGAGGAGCTGCCCGCCGTGCGCGTCCGAGCCAGACGCGGCATGGCACGGCTTTTTACCCAGCCCATCGATGACCACGCCCTCGGACACCGCAAATCGTTACAGCAGAGCTGCTCCGCAGCGCGATACAGAGGACTTCAACGCGGACCGGGTGGACAGGCGGCCACCGTTCCCAGGGACCAGCGAAGCGACCCAAACAGCAGGAGGACCAGGAGAGAACAGGAAGGGAGGCCAGGAACGGCGGGGAAGGCCGGTATGGCACGGGACGCGGTGTTGCCAGTGCCCCGAGGCGGTGGAGAGGAGGGAAGAGCTGGCCAGGAGTGCCCGGATCCGGGGCGTGCCACGGGCCCCGCGGGCCTTCTGTTCTGCAGACTGTGGCCATCGCTGCCAGGACTTCAACAGCCCACCGCTGCATGGTTTGTTTTTTGGGTTGTTTTTTGTGTTTTTTTTGCAATCCTTCGTTCAAATTGGTTTTTTTTGCAAAGCATACGTCGGGCCTGACGGGCAGGAGACTGAGCCTTTCGGTGCTTCTGCTGGTGCAAGAGACGTTCCCTGAGGGTTCGTGCTACCATGGGGAACGGACAGAGGTTTCCCGCGCCGGCGTCGGGGTTGCCTCGATGACTGACTCTGGCCAGCGACTGCGTGGCATATATGGTCCGCTCCCCTCGACCTTTGATCAGACCAGCGCCGATGCAAGAACACTTCGGGCGGGCGGCAGCCAGTGTTCACAGAGGGACCTCCGACCTCCGCCGACCCGCGCGAGCCTGTTGAGGGTGGAGCGTTCTGGGCTCCTGGCGGGTGCTGCGTCCGCGTCCAGTGCCCTCTCGGGGAGGTCTCGGCTCAGTTTCTATTCTGGCCATCGCTCGGACGTCCATTCCCTGTGTTTTTTTCGGTTTCGTGCGTGGTTTTTTCGCCAAATGATCAAGGATGCTTCTCGATGGTCCTCGCCGAGACAAAAATGCACACGTCCGAGCGATGCCAGGTATTGGCGTGGGATCAGTCGTAGGATCCAGGATGGCGCGTGGCCCACCCTGGAGAAGGTCAAAACACATAGGTCGTTCAGCGAAGCTGTTGACGATCAAGATTATATGAATATTGCTGGCTCCATGGCCTCTGATGTACTTGCTGAGTTGGCGGCCCAAAAGCACGAGTTGAGCCCCCAAGATCTCGAAGACTTCGAGCGTGCCCTGGCTGAGTATGGGAGCCTCGTTTCAGGAGTCGTGCACGTGCTGGAGGCCTGGCCATCCTGCCAGCAGCAATTCGGAAAGCTTTCACGACCCTTTAGGCCCAAAGAGGCCAAACCTGCTGGACCGCAACACCTCCATGTCTGTCACGGTTCGGGTTATCGGTGTCTGCAGTGTCTGAGGGTCGTGTCGGATCGGACCTCCACCCCTTGTCAATCCCTGGCTCCCACCATGAGCTCCCTCCTTGGGGGCGGTGCGGGGACAGGGCAGAAGTTGCACTGGGCTCGGGTTGTGGAGACAGATGTTCCGATCATGTGTTGTGCGCTTTCTAGGGGGCTTGCTTTGGTTAGATCCGATAAGCGGTCCAAGCCCTGTTTGAATCCGAAGCGTTCGTCAGAGCGGTCAAAGCTCATGCGAGGGTTTTTGTTTGCCTGGTTGTAGCTACACCCTGGGGCAAGTCTTTTCCTTCGTTTTCCTTTCGTCTTTTCATGTGTTTCCCTTTCCTTCCTTCTCCTCCTCCTCCTTGCCTCAGGGGAGTAGCTCTTAATTTGGGCGCCTGCGGGCGGCTGGGAGACAACAGGCAATCGGTCCATTGCTGGGGGTGCCCCGAGAAGTGTCCCGATGGCTCTGTCCCTGAGGGGAAAGGATCTCCCAGCGCGAATGTAAGTATTGGTGTTTGCTTTTGCATTTATTTGCCATACGGCATTTATGTGCATTTGCATGTAGAGCGGTGGTTGTTGTTCCTGGGATGATATGGCATCCCTTTGGTCTGCGAGGTCTGCGAAGAGGAAGAGGAGGAGGAGGAGGAGGAGGAGGAGGAGGACGACGACGGGGAGGAGGAGGAAGAACCGGAAAAGAGGAGGAGGAGGAGGAGGAAACGGAGAAGAGGAGGAGGAGGAGGAGGAGGACGAGAGGAGGAGGAGGAGGCGGAGGAGGAGGAGGAGAAGGAGGAGGAGGAGGAGAAAGAGGAGGAGGAAGGGGAAGAGGAGGAGGAGGAGGAGGAGGCGGAGGAAGAGGAGGAGTGGGGTGGAAGAGGAGGAGGAGGAGGAGGAGGAGGAGGAGTGGGGTGGAAGAGGAGGGCGAGGAGGAGGAGGAGAAGGACTGGGGTGGTGGAGAAGTAGGAGGAGGAGGAGGAGGAGGAGAAGGAGGGCGCCCGGAGGAATGGGCCGGCCTGGCGACCCACCGCGCAAGCACTTTCCTGCGGGGCGGGTGGCCATATGGCGGTGAGGCACGGTGACTCGGCAAGGGGCTGGAGCGCGCCACCACAACTCCCTCCTTTAGCCCACCGTGGGGAGGCACGAGCACCGTTCCCCATGGCGGCCAACACAGGGTGCAGGGCGGCGCGGTCAAGCCGCGAAGCGCGAGGAGGCAACCAGGCCGCAGTGGGCGTGGGGCCCCCCGAGAGGCGGCTGACCTCTGCAGGACGAGAGAAAAGGAGCAGGGCAATTCTGCCCGCGAACTGGCCGATAATGTTATGATCGAAATAACCTTCTACCCTGCCCCCCTTTGGCGGCGGGGAAACACCTACCCCCTCCCCTCTCGGCCGTCGCAACGGTCGGCAAAAGAGACGACGCACGGGCAACTCGTAATCCCGTTCTGGGAGAGATCACCGTGCACATGGGTGAGAGACATGTTGGATCGACACTTCAGGATGCAATGCAAGAACTGGTTCAGCTTTTGCTCAGCTGCTACGCAACCTGTCACGCGACCAAATTCGCAGAATTCTGCGATCAAGTGCGCACGCTGACAAAACTTGTCGCGCGACCCAATCCACGGATTTCCATGATGAAGCGCTCAGTTACACTGTCTGGCACGCGACCTAATCCACGGATTTCCGGATGAAGCGCTCACTTACAGTCTGCCACGCGACCTGATCCACGGACTTCCGGGATGAAGCGCTCAGTTACACAGTCTGCCACGCGACCTAATCCACGGATTTCCGGGATGAAGCGCTCACCCAGGTCATGCGGGCAGGAGGGGGAGAAGGACGCAAAACAATAAGGGCGGATGGCGCTTTCACTCTCCATGGGGTTCCAGAGTAGCGACAGCAGTGGCCAACGCAACCAAGTCTGCCGCTCAAAAAACTCACTCCTGCTCCCGTCTGTGACTCAGTCGCCGATCGACTCGATGTCTAGATCCGCAACGGAATTCGCCGGGTCTCGGGGAAGGGCTCGATCGTGCTCTCGTCGTTTCCCTCCGGAAAATTGATGTGGTATAACGCATGGTATTCATCGCATTGGCTGTCAAGGTTCTCTGCGCCCTCAGGCGCCTGAATACTTCTTGGCTCAAGTTGCTTTCCAAGCTCCTTGTGGGCAGGGGCTTCGAGGCGCGTCAGGCACAGCTCCAGCAACACTCGTGCGTCTGCAAGGCGTTGGCTGACTCTCTCAAAGGATGTATTTACGAAAAGAAACAAGCACGCGTGCTCCTCAAGCGCTCGTAACTGGTGCGGAGTAAAACCGAGAGGGGATGTGCACCTAACGTCATGGTGAGCCAGATGCATTGGACGAGTCTCTCGAGGACGCCACGGCGCAGCCATCAGTACTGGAGGATCGCGGCGCGAAAGACAGAACTCATAAGTTAAGTGAAGAGGCCCTTTCGACACTGAGCCGAGACTCCGCAAGATGTGATGTCGCTGCAGATGGAAAATGTCATCGCACTGCTAAGCTGGCGTCGGAGCGCAGCTGCCGCATGCAACCACTGTTGTGTTCCAGGCTCAGTCGGGCGCTCTCGTGGTCCTTGCATGGGTGCCTGGATGTCAGCGCCTGGTGCGCCGAGTGGCCCTCGGGGGCCCTGTGGTGGCGATCCTGCTGCGTTGCCCCGCCGTTCACTGCAACCCCGTCGGATTGCTGAGGATCGATTTGGGAAGGGCCTGGAGGAGCTCGAGGACGTAGTCGAGGAGGGCGGCGGGAGGGTGATTGGGGTGGACCCGGAGGGCCACGTTTAGGCGCAGTCCCAGATCCCTCCCCAGAGCCCGCGGAGCCCCCTGCGGGCGCCGCAGCGGCCCCGTCGGTTGCTACCCTTGGGAGGAGCCCTTGACTGAGATCCACGCTGCGCCTTCGCCTAGCACGATAACGCATTGCCAGCTCGTGGGGATCCTTGAGTTGTGCACTGGCATCCCCCTGTTCTTTCAACGCAGAGAACCGCATGGGGCCGAGGCCAATGGAACTCGCTAGCTGTTCAAAGTCACTCTCGGGTGGCCAACGTGCAGGAGGCAGCGCGAGAGGAGGAGGCCACGTGCCGCGGGCTACCGCTGCGGGAGCATCATGGCCTGCTCGCACAATAACTCCAGTCGGCCCACGTATGTTGGTTTGCCCGTCTGCCACTGTAACCAGCGCCTGCGTCGGAGCGCCGACTTGACTGCCCTCTCCATGGCCGCCCTGGGGCCTGCCCCCTCGCGCTTGGTCGCGTTGAGCCCGAGCAGGCCGCCCGGCATCGCCTCTTGCATCTTGAACGCAGAGAAGCCGCGGGGCCACGCGGGCGCCGGCTGGCCGATCTCCTTCTCCTGCAGGATGGCCCCAGGTACTGGGTCGGGGTTGAGGCTGCGCTGGATCTTGCGCATCTTGCCGCCCGTCGTCGTCGCCCTCCCTCTCGTAGGTCTCGTTCGCCTTAAAGCTGTGGAAGATAGCTCGATCCGCGGTCGGCCCGTACTTCTTCGTCGTGCTGTCTATGAACTCTCTCGGGATGGCCTTGCACTGCTTCTCCATCTCCCCCCCGTTGGCCCTGTCGATCGAGTCGTGGATCGCGCGGGCGACCTCGATCGCCACGCGTGGGCGAGGCGGACCCAGTTCATGCTTCTTGCCGCGAGAGCGAACCCCCGCCGCGCACTTCCTGGCTGCTTGCAGCCCTGCCTGGTACGGCATGGCCTGGGATGGGATCAGCAAGAAGTCGCTCGTCGCGAGCATCACCTCCCCCAGGTCCCGCGCGCCTCGCAGGGCGAGCTTCATCGTGACATTCAGCCTATCGTCGTCGCCGTGGTCGTTGTTGTCGGCGTTGCGGTTGCCTCGCGGCGGTGGGCGCCCTCCTCCACCTGCGCTGCTTGCGGCTGCTCCTGGCGGCAGGCGGCCCTTGCGCGCGCTTCCAAGCTCGGAGCCTGGGCCACGCTTGCTTCTGATCTGCCACACGGCCCTCGGCGCCGGCACCGCCATCGCGAAGTCGTTCCCTGACCGAGCGGGGGCCTTCGTGACGCGCGCGCACGCGGCGCTGGCATGCGATTATGTCTTGAGCCTCGTGTCCACAGATGCCGCACTTTAGTGCGTCGGGCCCCTGCAGCTCGCGGGCCCATTTACAGCGGTCGACATAGCACGCGCCGTGGCGCTCGACCGATCTGCGGCAGCGTTCGACGGCTGTCTTCCTGTCGTTGAACACGCCCAGGCACTAAGGGCGCTGATGCGTAATTGCTAGCTGCGTTAGAAGCGCGCGCGTTATGTGCGCCGCGTCTGCGTGCCTGACGGCTTGCGCAGTCTGGAATCGCACCCCGCCCGCCCTGCCCCTTCTTCGTCCGCGCAGGGGTGGTCGCACCAGAACGGTCGCTCCAGGATCTCCTCATCCGCTGCCTGCACTCCTTCCCCCCCCCCCCTGTCTCCTCTCTGCGCAGCACAACGCAAGATGCTCGTGTCCACGCGCGCCCATCTCCGCCGCTCGTCCGCCCCTGGAGTCAGGGCGGCAACGTCAGATGTTCTCCATGTGCGCTACGCGTGCAAGTTTTCGTCTAGGAAAGCGAGCTTGTCTAGATCCTGTCTACACTGTTTAGCCATCGGTGTAAAATACGGCCCCACCCAGTACCCAGGGAGCAGTCGTTTCACACCCGCAAGTCGGCCCATCGCACTGTCGCCAAAACCATCTACAATACCATTGCGCCGTGCCTGAGGACATTCGACCCATTGTTGGTGCCATTTTAGCACGCGTGCTCCCAGCGCTACTTCTGCACGCCCAAGACGCCCTTATCGAGAGACTCTCGCTGCGCCATAACCTCGCACTGAGACGTCTTCCCGAATCCACGACATGCGCCCTCTCGCCAATGTCCTGAAGTATTTTCCAAGCGGAGCGTCTAGCACATCGGTTTGGTCTTTGATCAGTACCATGCAGGTCGGACTTCCCAGGGCAGCTCCAAAGACGAACGCCATGAACATCATGCGCTTTGCTGCAAGACTTGTTTTGGAACCCCAAAGCGCGCCTCCCTGGCGCCACGCCAACCGGATAGCATCGCGGCGCCTCCAAATTTCTCCTGGGATACCTTGGCTGGATGGCATATATGGGCCGAACGCCCATCTTTCTCAGTGGGATGCCTTCAAGTTTTTTGTTCCGCCTCAGCTTCCGCGCGCAATTGCAGCTGCCCTGCCCCCGCCCCCCCCAAAAAAAAAAAAAAAAAAAAATGGTTTCTGTGGGGTTGAGCTGCCAGCTGCCCTTAATCAGCGTGCTCTCAAGCTCTGCAGTGGCCTCGTTAAGTTGGGCGGTTAAATGTAACTTTGCGGCTCCAGCCGGACACGCGTGCGTCTTCGCAATGTCGTTCATGAGCGTCCGTTGGCCTAAGTCGTGCACAACGCCTGTGATGGGGCGCGGCGTGTCGCGGTATCTCTAAGGTGGGCCTTTTCGTAGTTCATAGTTCCATAGTTTGACGTGGACAACGCATCCATCATTGAACCGTCTCGGCGCAAGGGTAAACCCCATCTGTGCCCCCGACATAGTCTCCACCGTCGCATCTGCCGCGGGCGTCTATGCCGTCATCGCCATCATTTCAATGCCCCCAGCGAGCGCACTTGGCCCCAGTCGTCCGCTTGTTTATTAAAGGCAACAGCCCGCGACAGATTTGCGCGCATAAATGCAAACGCGTTGGAACAGTCATAATTCGCAGAGACCCAGCTGCACCCCATTTGCTCTGCCTTCCATTTTGTCGTCGACATAACGGCTGGAGCCATCTCCCTGCATCTATGCGGCAAAACCCCATGCGCCCAAGGCTCGCGTTGGAACGGTGTGACACGTCTATATATGCCAGAGTGCCGCGCCATGCCCGCGCTACACTTTGCACGCGCGATGCACTTGGCAAGGGCGCCCTGTTTCACGTTGTTTTCGTCAGCTCCAAAGGCACGTGATCTGCGCCAAATCAATGGTGTCGTCTGCGCACGCCTGCACATAAACAGTATGTCCGCGAGCCGTCGCGCAGCTGCGAGGCTGCCCGTCGCGCAAGGGGGCACCCCGAATCCTGCCCTGGCCCCTCTCCACGCCGTGTAGTTGTTGATGAGGTTGGCTGGGTCCGTCGGCACGCCCCCTCTCCTCCCCAGCCCTCTTCCTGTCCAGCCTAGGCGTTCCAGCAACTTCCTCCCCTTCCCCAAGCGGTGCTCTACTGCGTGACGTGCTGCCTCCTCCTCGTCGCTGCCCCCCTGTTCTGCTGGCCCTCGCCAGGTCTCTCGCGTCGGTCGCATCGCCTAAGTCGATAGCCGGGTCGAACAACAACAAGGTGACCTCGACTGGGAGCCCCCATGCTAGCCACGCTCTCCCCTTTTCTGCGATAATGGAAAGAGCGCGGCATAGCAGCATGGTCGTCTGCGGCCCTGCTTCGCAGTTCTTTATCGATCGGTAGGGGGCGTTTGGTAGAGTAATGGGCCTCTCTGTCGCTGAGCTGTTGGCCGAAATCCATAAGTTGGGCACTCAGCCCTCCTTCGCGCGGGTCCTTCGCCAGCTTTGATATCCACTGCTCCGCCGACCAGTGCGTTCGCGTGGCGAAGAAATACCGTCGTTCGGGTACTCGTCCGTTCGCCTGGTGCTGTATGCATAGCCCGCGCATCCCAGCAAAGCCACCTTTTTCGGAGGCTTCCCAAATTTCATCGACCGGTCTCGCTTTTCGGGGTTTCTGATAACCTTCTCGTAGCTTCTTCAGCCCACCCGTAACCTCCCGCAGCTGCTGTTCAACTTGTTCCAGACCATCGTCGGCAATGCGGGGGCCTAGCTCTTGTCTGATAGTGCGGCGCGTTCCCTGGTGTTCGAGGCGTTGCGCCTGCAGCGCTTGGAAGAAGGGGTCGGTCCGCCGGTGTTGCTCTCCAAACACTCTGCGAGCGGCCATACGTGCTGCATCGCTGTACCGTTGCCACGCTGGGTCGGGTGTCGGTCCGTCAAGCAGCTCCCTCCACTCCTCCTCCCCCACCTTACCAGGCTCCTCATCGGTGCTTTCCAGCACCTCCTGTCTCCTATATCCCTTCCTCAGGCACAACATGAGCTGATCCCTGTTCAGTCGTACAACATATTTTGGCCGACTGTGAAAGGCATTTCTAGCGCGAGAATCGAAAAACAGACTGGTAGACACGTGTTCTCTTGACCCCCTAGCTTTGACGAGCTGTGTTCGTTGGCCAGGGGGGTGCAAGGCAAAGCGTCGTTGGATGAGGTGTGCGGCCGCTGCTGGCACAGCAAAGCGATCTACTCTGCTCGTCCCCCCTTTCGAGCCATAGAACGTGGGGCCAGGATCGTGCACCGTCGTAGCAATCACAGAATCGCTAGTCTGGCACACATTGCGAAAGTGCAGCCCGTTATCTGTTTCGAACATGTTAGCGTTCTGCCCGAGATTGCTCGCGATTGTCTTCTGTATGGCTCCGTCGCTGGCACGGTGAGGCCCGAAATCGGAGTTGATGTCCCCCCCAATCACTTACCATTGCACGCGCTCCGAAACCGACCGTTGTCCCCTCCGGCCAGTTACTGGTCCGTCTCCCTATCGCCGCGTAGTTCTTCACATGTGTCGGCGCATAGTACGCGGAGAATAATGCTAAGCCTGCCGTGGGTAGGGTTAGCTTGATTCCCCCCAACACTTCCCTGTAGTGTTCCAGGCGGCTGGTAGCTCTCCCGAAGAAATGACTGCTTGTGTAGTAGTATGTTCACTCCGCATGCTTTGGTCAGACATCTCCCCTGTGTAGCCCCGTACGTAAACACCAGTGATTGGGCAACTGCAACCATCTCACATATTCACTATTCGCGGCTTCTGCCGTGCCGCACACAAGTACGACGTCCCATGTCCGTAGTTCTGCACTGATATCCATGATCCGCTCAAACGTGCTTGCCGATAGCGGATTGTACGAGGCAATGCGCATCGCAGGCGTGTGATGAGAAAAATATTACCCGACGAGAAGGGATGTGCGGAGAGGAGGTACAGCATGCATGCTTGCAGCGGCAGAACAGGCTCCTGAATCCCTCACGGCGGCTAGGAAGAGGAGGAAGAGGAGGAGGAGGAGGAGGAGGCGGAGGAGGAGGAGTGGGGGAGGAGGAAGAGGAGGATGAGGGTGGTGGAGGAGAGCGAGGAGATGAGGAGGAGGAGTAGGGAGGAGGAAGGAGGAGGAGGAGGGGAGGGAGAGGAGAGGAGAAGAATGAAGAGGAAGGAGGATGAGGAGGAGGAGGAGGAGGAGAGGCGGAGAAGGATGAAGGAGGAGGAAGGAGGAGGGAGGATGATGGGAGGAGGAGGAGGAGGAAGGTGGAGTGGGGGGTGGATAAGGAAAGTAGGGAAGGGGGGTTTTGTATTAGGACGAGCATAGGATGGGACTATGAGTCTGAATTTGAGTCTGCTGAGGATTCACTGGTGAGGATGATTTGTGCGGATGAGTTTCTGTAGAGAAGAATGGGCCGTAGAATGTATTGAGTAGAAAGGATTTAAGGTTGGGAGGAGGAGGAGGAGGAGGAGGAGGAGGAGGTGGGGAAGGCTCGGGACGCGGACGCTCGGAGGCTATAGCACGTGGTTAGCGTGTCGCGCCGTCGCGCCGAGCCAAAGCTCCTGGCCGCAGGCTGCGGCGGCGAGCTGCGCCTCCGGGCCACTGCTTGGCTTACCTCACCCTCCCCCAGAGATCCAGCGTTACGTTCGTCTTTTTTTCAATCCTATCTAAAACTATGTTAAAACAACTATGCTGAATTGTTCAATACGATTCTCCAAACCTTCGTCTTATGTTTCGATAACATGAGAAAAAAGAAGACGAAGGTTTTTCGCTGCTTTCAGCCTCTAGGGACCCTCGCCAGACCCCAGGACCGTCAAGCAAAGACTCAGAATGAAGAAGCGGTCCTGGGGAACGGGTCGAGCCTTCCAGGGACCCCGCATTCAAAAAATCACGCCATCGGATCTCTGGGCCACCCTGCTGCTGCTCGTCTCCCCCCTCCTCAGACGCGGCCTAACTGACCCCTAGCAAGCCATCCCCTTCCGTGACGCCAC